GATCAATAAGCGACGACGTAGCCATAGAGGAGGGAGACGACTGGTATATATTTCGGACCGCGGTGGAATCAATCCATAAGACATTTTGCCATGCACCCGACGGACCCTGATACCTGTTTCTATCATCAAAGAACGGTCAGCCATGAACTTGACACCGAACACTGGAACTCAGATTTGCATGGGTCTAGGACACTTAAAAGCAATCAAAGGGATTAAAATGATGTGTTTAAATGTACGTTCTCCTAAATTAGGAGAATTACAATTAATGGCTGAAGAAACACAGGCACACATTATTGGATTCGTTGAAACATGGTTAAATTATTCCATTACTACCAACAAACTTGAAATACTGAGTTAAATATTGCATAGAAAAGATCGCAAACCATTTTTGGGGTGGTGTAGACGTCCATATGACGTGACTGAAAATATGGATAAAATCGAGTCATTGTAGTTTGAAATACAGTTGCCTATGACTAGGCCTTTGGTTGTAACTTTGTATACCGACCTCCGAGTGATGAAATATTTTAGAGAATTTTCTCTTATTCTTGATGGTGTCATGGGCTTGTATGCCTCTCAAAAAGGCAGTTGAAACATCTTGTCTTGGCGACATTAATGTTGATTACTTGTCTTCATGATCTAACCAATGCATAAGGTTGAAGCAAATTTTTGATAGGTTTCAAATGAGTCAGTTAATGTTCCCACCAGAGTAACTCAGTACAACTCATCATGTAGTGACCACATCTGGATAAACAATCCTAACATGTACTCTAAATGTGGAGTTTGCGATGAGAATAGAAGTGATCATCGTTTAACTTACGCTGTAAGAAAGCCTGTTAAGGGTCATACTTGGCACAAATTTATTCGTGCTTGTTCATTCAGGAACTTTGATGGTAATCTTTTTAGACAAGATCTTGCCGATGTTACCCTGGTGCTTGTTGAAATTTGCCGATGGTCCTAACATGGCTTGGAATCTTATTAAAAACATGATGCTGAATATTTGTGACATACATTGCCCTGAAAGTTTGTGTCAAGAGAACTAATTGGATAAATTGTGATTATCTCGAGCTGAGGAAAATATCGATGAAGGCTACGCATATGGCCAATAAAACCAGTAATAAGGCCCACTTAAGGCATGCTAATGTACACCGTAACAGGCTCAATAAATTGGGTGATAATTGAAGAGAGACTATTACAATAAGATCATTTACGGAAATATGCAGAATGCCAAGAAAATGTGGTCTGTTATTAAAGAGGTGTTGCCAGGTACTAAATCTATACTGAATTTTGTTAGTAAAAACGAGCAACAGAAAATTGACTTGGCTAACTGTTTTAGTAAGCACTTTGTTGATGTGGGAACAGCTCAGGATAACTAGTTTAAATCGGGACGCCATTTCACTATTGATAGTTGTAATACAATTGATTAAAGTTTGGTTCTTAGCTCAGTATCAACATATGAAGTGCTTAAGTTATTGCAAAAAATCCCTACTGGAAAAGTTTATGGTTTGGATGGTATCAATGGCCGCTTTTTGAAAGCTGGGGCAACAGTTTTAGCTGAACCTTTGGCTTACATTTTTAATTAAGCTTGTCAAGTGGAGTTGTCCCGCATAACTGGAAAATGGCGAAAGTAACTCCCATTCATAAAGGTGGCAGTTCACTGGATTGCAATAATTATCGACCAATTTCTGTAATTTTTGTTGTCATGAAGATCTTTTAACGTGTAGTTTACAACCAGCTTTCTCATCTCTTAATTGACAATAATGGTTTAGCCTTGCGACTGTAGCGGAAGTGCGACTTAGATTAGTTTAAAAGATTGGTCAATTTAGGGGAGTCGCCCGTTGAGTAAATGTCACGGGGACAGTCATGTGGACAGCGCGTGCAGCGTTGTGATTGGCTGCATGCTGTCCAGCCGTGCCGTGTGCACGATGGAGTGTATGCGCGGGCAGTGCAGTGAAGAGAAGCCGTAAGGTGAGCAGTCTTTGTATGGTTGACTAAGGGTAGCTGCACGCAGTGTGTGTATGGTTGACTAGGGATCTCAATACGACGCTTTCCGCGTTTGAAAACGAGGCTGTATGTGTCAGCTTTAATTCTTTTACGATCAGACGAAAGTAAGGAGTCAAGGCACAAAATACATAAAGGAATGTTAAATTAAGACTTTCCAGGCTTCAACTTTTTGTGGAAGAGTCTTTCAGGATGACTCAACGCGTAAAATCAAAAGAAAAAATACGGCAATTACCGCGAACTAACGTACCTGCGATGGCCATGTATCTTGTGCAGTGGGTGTGGTTTAAGCCGAAGTGGCGTCACACTACGAACCGGATACGGCATCTTCTGTGTCGACTCCGCGGGCGCGCGCGACGAAGTTCAACCAGAGAGCCTCGGCTTCGATGCAGATATGCGCAGATGGAGCTAATGCGAAATCTCTCTATAAGTTGCTGGCGGGAGATGTCATGTTAATGGTTAGGCTTTCTAGAAAGGCCGAGTGTCACCGCTAGGTTACTGCCAGCGGGAAGTGTATATTGGGCCTAGTAGCGTTCTTCGTTGGTGCGGGGAATAAGCTGTTTTTTTGTTGCGTTCCGCGTTGGTGCGTGGAATAGAAGTAGTAAGCCACACCTAGAGTAATGGTCGTTATTCGTAGAGGCGACCTAGTCAACCACACGTGTAGTTAGGATAAGTGATCCATTCTTCATTGGTGCGTGAAACGAGATATTTCGCACGTGAAGTAGAGGCTTCACAGGTGCGTTGCATCAACCAAAAGTTGGTGAGTGCATACCGAGAGTCAAGAGCGGCGTTGGTGTTCACTGCTCAGGTGAATAGTGGTGAACTGGGACGGACCCAGCTTTCTTGCAGTTACGTTCTTCATGTATGTGGTTGACTAGAGACACCCGCAGCTGTAGTAAACCACACACGCACTCAAGTAAACTACACATGCATTCGAATAGGCTTCACTGCCCGTTGTACATTAGCATCGTAGTAAACCACACAGTAAAGGTGGTCAGCCATGTGCAAGAGTTAGTCAACCACACATTGGGTTGTAGTTAACATTGCACATGTGCTAGTCAACCATAAGGCGAATTTAATAAGTCATCAAAGGGTCCTACTTTAGTCCACATTCATTGTCATTTTACTACCTTTGTTTTTGTTGTACAGTAAACCAGAATTGCCTTGTATGTTTCCAAACTAGGTGTCCAGTCGCATTCAAGTTGGTGACTTATTTAGCAGGTTCAGCAATCAATTCCTTTGGCGGTACATTTCCACCCAAACGGGCTTGCATCCCTTTGCCTTGAGGCTGCTTTGTTAGTCTCTCGTCCGAGGAAGAAACGAGATCTCGCCACACAACAGTCTGGTTTTAGACCTCGCCACTCAACTACCACTACTTTAATTGATGCTTCTGATTTTTTAGTTAAAAGCCTTTGATTTTGGCATGTTAACTGGGGCTGTTTTTCTGGATCTGCGTAAAGCTTTCAACACGGTCAGTCATTCTATTTTACTTTTTAAAAATGCAATCCATGGGCGTGGATGGAGTGGAACTTCATTGGTTCACCTCCTACCTTTCTATGAGAAAACAGGTCACAAAATTTGGAGATATCACTTGTTATACACTATTTTAGGTCCGTTGCTTTTTCTTATTTATATTAATGATTTACCTACTGTGATCCAGCACTCCAAGGTTGTCCTTTATGTAGATGATACGGCTATTTTTTATTCAAGTAAGGACATTAGGGATATCGAGTGTCGATTAAATGATGACATGGATAGAATAACGACTTGGTTTGCAAAAAAACAGGTTGTGCCTCAATATAGCTAAATGTAGGAGCATGTTGTTTGGATCTTCACAAAATTTGGCCAGGAGTCTAAGTCCTAATATTGATATTGTTCTTGATGACAGTACATTGGAACAAGTTCCATGTATTAAATATCTTGGGGTTAAGTTTGATTCTAAACTTCAATGGAAGGAGCACCTGGAATCTATTGAATCTTGCATCTTTAGTAGAACTAGAATTTTGCTACGCGTTCGGAACTATTTGCCCGTAAGGACAATTAACCTTCTTGCCAAATCACTTATTTTTACTCAACTTGATTATTGTGACCTTGTGGGGTGTAATGTAGCCAATAGCTTAGTGCAACGTCTCGATTTTTTTGTTCAGTCGAACAGGAAGGGTCATCTTCAAGGTTCCACCAAGAACACCTTGTGATGGGATAGCTTATACCTCAAACGTGAACGCAATCTGAATATAATGGTTTATAAATGTTTAAGTGGCCTTGTTCCAGATTATCTTAGCACTTTGTTTTATTACGTGAGCTATCAACACTTTATCATACTAGGCATTGTGTGGAGAGTAACATTCCTGGCGGTAAGATTTCACAGATTGTCTGACACTATTATCTACTTACTTTACAGTCAGATATTTCAAGGTAATTCGACAGTCCCGTTTTTTAGATCTTGCAGATCCTTTAAACTACCTTTAAACTTCCATAGTTATGCAAGATTGGTCCCTATCAACTCCGCCAAAAATGCCGAACTAAAATCAGCACCCAATACATGACATGCACGATGTGAGTTTTCTTTATTCATGGTAATATCAACTCTATGTGTTAATGTTTCGGAGTTTAAATGGTAGGAATGATTATTTTGCATAAAAGAAGAATACAACAGCACATGCAGAATTAGCGAGGGAGATCCGGGTAGACACAAAAATTGTCTGCATCTATTTATTTCTATATAATGTGCTTTAATTGTGTTGTGTTTCGGAGCAGTTTTACAACTTCTCAGAAACTGTTAGATTTCAACCTTGCTTTTGCTTGACGAGTGTCTTTCGAAACTTGATATTTTCGTGTCAACGTGACCAGAAAACATCAGCAGAAAAACTCCCGGTGACTAGCCAAGTTTAATACGTGTGTCGCAACTTTATCTGAGAAAATTATAATATCCCACTTCTGGCTGTAGCGTTAATGCGCCCGTGCAATGTCAGGGGCATATAGAAAAACCTGTTCCTAATTACCTGGTGCCAGTGGAAGTGGTGGGAATTAAAGCTACAATCTTCTCTCCACCAGGCCAGCTTGAACTCCGGGTCGCGATAGTTGCCCGTAATGAAGGCGGGAGGAGGCGAGCTGTCATCTTTATCGCGTCTGTTTCGAGCCAGGTCGAGCGCTCGCTTGATGATTGTTCCTGGGAAGTAGCTCCGAGGGTTAACCTCCCATATCGGGGGCAACAGGGCTCCGTCGGTGTCCTTACGGTGAAGGACGGCCGTCGACACAGCATACAGATAGATGCCTTCATTCAGAATTGGCCTGAGACGGGCCGAATCCTCCTTGAACTTCTGGAAACTGTCGAGGGATAGCAGGTAGTTAACCACTGTTGCTGCCTCCTCAGCGTGGGACTTCTTGAAGATGGAGAACTGGTGGCCCTTCTGTAAGTGGCCGATGCCGCTGGGGAAGATGTCTACCTCCGGGACGGTGGCGCTGCTTGGGAGAAAAGCATACCCAGCAAGCGGTACCGATGCATCGCTACCGGTGGGAATAGCCGGTGAATGCTCATCAGCACAGAAGAGAGTAAGTACCGAGTCCTGCTTTGATGCCATGTCGNACGGCTCATGTGTTCTCTATCCGCTTGAGACGTTTCCTTTTATACCCAACAACGTGGGCCTGCAAAAGTTGACCTTTGCTCTTGACGTGCTCCAGTAAACCGGACCTAGTTGCTCGAATTAAACACGGACCTAGTAGCGGAAAGAACATTTCACATAGCCGGCGCTGTTTGGTTACAATATTCCAACCGACTCTGTCGGTTACTAAAAATCATGCACAACATCGTGGGCCTTGCGTTAGTGAGGATACGTAGGCCACGGCGGGGAAGCTGAAAGTTAGGACTTGCACACATATTCGCCATTTTTGCAGCAATAACATTGCAAGCCTAGTATAATGTGTCAACAGGTGAACCTAAAAAGAGCAAAAGTTATGCTCAAACTCCTGACATACAGCAAGGCTTTGGAAATTTCTGTCGCTAGCGATTTAAATCTGAAAGATAATAAAAGATGTGATTTTTCCTTGTGAAGTTAAGGCTCAAGTGATCATTGTCAATAGCCGTTATTCACTCATATCCCACATGTCTTGTTTATTGAATTCTTACTTCTTCCAGCGTCTCTTGAAAAAGTTTTCAGCCATAATTTTTTGGTATAACTTTATAAATGGGCAAACTAAACAAAAATAAGCCCTTAATGACCTTTTGAAAGGGCACGTCGTTAGGGGATCTACCGCCCGATTTCCAGACAGAGCTCCAGCATGACCACAAACTTCAAACTCCCCAAACAAGCCAATAATTTTGAAGCCCACTGATAAAGATATTTGGCGACATTTCTTCAATGAGAAACGTTGAAAATAAAATCAGAAGGAACTCATGATTATAGGCCACTACAAAAATTCTGTATGAAAGTTTTTAGTTGCTTGATGTGAGGCAAATTAAAGTAGGCCGATATGAGACACAGGGTTTTCAAAGTCTGCATCAAGCAAGCACCAAGAGGGAGTCTATTTTTTTCTCCAATTTTAGAATGAATAAGACCGACTCTCCTGGCAATTTCTTTCAAAGTTGACACGGTCTAGGTGTCTGTTCGTGGCTCTAATATTCAATTAATCACTGCTGACTACAAATTCATTTTTGGGCTACAATGTGCAATTCGGTTGAAGACTTAAAAAGAAAAGGCCAATAAACAGCACAATCTGTGTGTGTTCGCTGCTCACAGCACGTACGTGGCACGATCTGCAACTATGTTGCCGATCTAGGAAGCATCGCCCCCGCCTGTTCGTCACGATCATCATGCCTGCAATGTAATCCTCTGGTTTATTCCCCATTTATCAAAACGAAAAAACAAATCGAAATTACTGTTCCCATACCGGTTGACGATATCTTTGACGCGTTTGACAACTACTTTGACAGCAGGAAGTTTACGTTTCACAGTAGCACGCCTCCGAGCGTTTGCGACACGTTAACCGAACACAGTGCGCGAAATCTGTCGATTTTGCGCACTGTGATTGTCCAACGCGTTGCAAACTCTTGGAGGCGCACTTTTGTGAATCGCCCGTATTGTCGATTATTGAACATCGATCAGCATTGCTCTTTTAAAGCAAACTCGAGATACCACGTCAAATGGATTGGACACTGCTTACGAGACAACGGGGTTAAGCCTACGTACCGGTCCCCGGCAAAAACTCACACGACGCACACGACACGTACACCGGCTCTACCTTCGTGAAATTCGGTCGGGAAAACCGCCAAAAGGATCGAGTCATGCGAGTACCTGCATGGCACCTGGAAATCGACCAGTCTGACGCCATGGGAAACTTTATTCTTAACGAGCGCACATGCACAATTTATCACAATCGTGGAAAATCTCATTAACTCGGAACCCGAACTGGAAACGAGCATCGACCATCAACTTTATCGTAAAATCTGTGTTGTTGGTTGTGCCATCAGACATGGCTTTGAGGGTGAAGGGTTATGACGATGACAACAATTCGCAACTCGCTACCAAAAACATGAAAATGGGGTATCTCTGTAACCTCAGTAAACAAAACGACGAAAACCTGTCCCTGAACGATCGGAGCCTTAGTCGTATCTGCTGGAGGTTTTTGTGTGCGAGGTACTGAGCTTAAGAGTCAACCGCATGTCAAAAAACCAGAAGAAAAAAACAGCCTTACGGTCTGAGCTATAAAGTAACATTTAGATTCCCTATAGAACTTAGAACGCGAAGACAAAAACATCTTGAGGGTCTTTTTGTTTCAGATCTTAAAGCTTTTAACTGTCAAATTTATCGTTACCGGTTGTGTAAGTAAACAGCAGAGCAATCATCCCGACGACCAAAGCTCACACCTGCTATGCCGGCCAAATTACCGATTTACTCAACAGACTGAAAGTATTGGCCGTGCTTTCAGGTGTTTTTGCAACCACTCTTTCAAGCCGCCTTTTAGAGGCTCTGGTTTTGGAGTTGGTGCTGGCGCAGGTTCGGGGGCAACAACAGCAGCAACGACCGAGCTCACAATGTACTCATGGTCAAAACTCAAAGCTGACCAATACGCTGGCTATCGTGACGCTTTGTCCTCTGGACAACGTTCTCAACTTTCAGCCAAGAGTCGTGTCGCTCCCCAACACCACATCAGTCGTTTTTTGATTCGGTTTATTTGACTTTTTACTTTGTCGGTGTCTCTATTGCCTAGATCGTCTGTCTGTAGGTCTTTTACAGGATTTTACAATGCTGTTGATTGCTCTGAAGTGGCAGCTTCGTCCCTTCGTTTCTCGTTTGCTTTTATTATCACCAGAACCACAACTCTGTGATTTTTATACATCCAGCGAATATCTGCTCGTGAGAGAACTGGTGTGGGTTTTGGGAGGAACTGCTGTTGTGGGTTACCTCGTGTGTCGGTTTGATTAATATAAATTACCAAGGCTGGAATAACAACAGCAACAGGAGCAATGGATAACAAGATTAGCTACAAGAACGAGAGTAGCGACAAGAGTAACAAAAATTGTCAACAGCCATTAACAGCCCTAACGGTTATTGGAAAAGGTGAATGCGCTGTTGAAAAGTTACACCAAAAATGTGACAGCAGCTTGCTACAAACGTACCACACACTTTATACACGTTATTACCACCGTACCGTGATCTTGTGCGTCCAAATACTTTAATTTTTTTTATGTCAATATAACGATTTTCCAATATGTTAAGTTTATACACAAATGCGTAGGTGTGTAACGTCCACCGAGTAGTCTTTGGCCAGATTGAAGGATCGACTTCCGGAAGTTGGAAATGTGTAGGCCTACAGTAGAATTTTTGTAGACTAAGGACTGGGGTCTGTACTCTATAAAAAATCACCTCACAGGTGCACAAGGTTGGCTTCCAACTATATCTTTTATCTCAAATGAAAACACAAAACACAATGAAGACAAAATACTACTTACAGCAGTAAGTTCGCCCAGTTGCCTGTGATTTTCGTTTCTTGTCTATAGTCACCAATAACATAACGTCCGACAACTGAAGGTTGCCCGGACGCTGTCTTGCATTCTGTTGGCGCTACACATTGCTGCCCGCTCAAATGTCTTAGTGAACGCTCGCCAAAACTCCCAATATGCATTTAGAGTGGGTGATCTGCCAACTTGCAGCGGCGCAGTATTGTTCCAGGTGATATCCAGTTACAAATTACCTAGGCAAGCTACCATTCACCGATAAAGTGCTATAAAAACAATTCAAGACATATAATATTTAATACAAAATATCAATGAATTTTTCAAAGCTTTCAGAAATCTGCGACCCTTAAGACTATCGTCCATTATATTGTAGTAAAACGAATTGAACATGGTGGTGATTATTTTTGTTTGATTAATTTTGCAACTCCATGTTAACTATTGTCCTGTCCTAAATCTGCTTTGCCTTCCCTGCCTCTCCCCTCTTCCCTTCCCCCTCCTTTCCCCTACTCTCCTTCTTAACTCCTCCCCCATCCTCCCTCAACTCCTACCTTTCCCTTATCCCCAACCTTCCCTTCCCC